TATGAATGGAGACATTGTTTTCATGGAAGGAGAGACTCAATATTTTAAATATGTCATGTCCCCAAATTGGATTCAATGCAATTCCAAAAAAATAAGGTCGTGACGAGAACTGTCTATCCGATTCCAAGCTTACCTTAAAGCTACAGTGATTACAACGGCGTGATTTAGTGCACGGACAGAAAGACTGGCAGAAGAAACTGAAAGCCCAGAAATACATCCTCACATATAGGAACTTATATATGACAGAAGCGGTCCTGAAGATCACAGGGAGGAAGAACGGTCTATTCAGTAACTAGTACTAGGATAACTAGTTACAGACATGTCTAGAACATTAAACTTGATCTCTTCCTCACAAGATAAACAAAAATTAATTTCTTATAGACTAAGGCCTAAAATGCTAAATGTAACTTTAAAACACCTAGAAAAAAATGTAGACTACTTTCATGATCTCAGAAGGGTACTTCGTAAATAGAACAGAAAAGTTAAGTCGTAAGTTAAAAGACTGGTAAATTGGAATTCATGAATATTAAGAGTATCTTAATTCATCAAAAGACCCCTAAAAGAAAATTAAGAACTGCAAATTGGCAGGAGTTATGTGCTACACATATAACTGACAGAGGATTAGGTTCTTGAATATAAAACGAAAAATCGTTTGGAAAAATACCTTAATATTAAGATTCTGTTTCTCACAAAATAAAGCTAATGGTATAAAAATATTGGCCATCGCAGGTCAAATCCTACTGCTTTGAGGATACAGGTCATGAGAACCACTTTCTGCCATCAAAATATCAAGTTCGCTACCTACAACATGACTAATAATAATGTACAACTGTAATTTCACAAGGATGTTAACTTTTATAACCTTAATTAAAAAAAAATCAAGTTCGCTTTGATGACTTATAAACTCCATAAGCAATAAGCTGTGCTGCTCAGTTGAGCATGACGAGCCATTTGTGATCAGAAGGCCTCCAACTTTTTCAAGAGAACTTCAAGCAGCCTCTACTTTCTGACAAGGTTAATTCATGCCCAGCTCACCAGAGGGAGGGAGGAGAGCTGTGAAGGCACACAGGCAGGCAGGGCAGTGCGGGCTCTGCTAACTGCTTATTTTCATTGTGAAGAGTCAGAGGAGGCAAGTGAGGCCCACAAAGGTTCCCAAGACTTTAATTACCGGGATCAAAAGGCAGACAGCAGTGTTTAAAATCCCTTAGCTTTTATTCTTCCACGATTCCTTTGAAAAGAGGGTCATACTCCAATCTTCCCACTGTCTTGCTCCAGGTATTTCCAGGCTACAGAAGCAAGTGTTCTTTTCTGATCTGAGGTTCTAGAAAAGAGCCTTGATCTCCTGGGTGCGTTCTCTACTTAAAATTTCTAGCTAGTTAGCACCGCAAGGTGACTGTGATGCACACGCTTTCTAATTAACAGATTGAATCTATTTAAACGGACGGTGGATCAGAATTTCAAATCAGTCTAGAAGGACATCTTCATCACTGAAACTCATCTACTTTGATTCACACTGGGTTTTCACGGCAACCGTTCAGCACTTGCAATGTTTTTAAATTTTACAGCATAGCTTTATCAGCGAACAAGAAGTGAAGTATCAGATGTTATTAAAATCCCCTTAACACAGTCAGGAAGAATGACGGGAGGGCACCAGAGTACAAATCAACATAATGACTCTTTTATTTCACTCATTTAAATGAAATGTCTTTCTCTAATGGGAGAGACGCTGTCAGTGTGAAAATTTGCATTTACACAGAGCTTTCACTTTATTCTCTACAATTATTTAGCATGGTACCTTTACAATAGACCTGCAGAGTGAGTTTATAATTTAAAAATAAATATTGAGACAGATAAGGGAAGGTTAAGTGCAGTGCCCAATACAGTTAACGTGGTGGTTAAGGGCTCTGGAGAAAGGCTGATGGAGCCCCACTCGTAGCTCCACCACGTTACCTCTCAGCTGTGTGATCCTGAGCAGGTTACTCAGCTTCTCTGAGGCTCGATTTCCTCCTTGATAAAACACAGATAACAGCACTAACTCTTTGTTGAGAGGATTAAATGGGGGGGGTGGAGTGGGAACAAGGACGGACCCAAAACGTACAAGGCATTTTTATAGTACAATTCCTAACACAGACTGATTTCAGTGAATGGTTAAAAATTACTGTATGAGAAGCTTTCTTTGTATGACACTTTAAACATACATATACATGTAGTTCTATAATCACAGAATTCACTCTTGTTCTCGGCAAAGGACTAAGTTACCAAAAAATGCTCATTTGAGTACAAAAACATGCTCATAAATACTCCTTTTTCTTCACTTGAACCTGAAATTAATAGGTAGATATTAATCAACTGTAACTTTCAACAGACTCCGTAAGCCAGACGGGATGAGTTAATCAAACAGAGAGAGCTCAGGACAAACTGCAAGCAGTAAGACATACAGTGCTGTTTAAAACAAGGAAGTGGGGGCCGGCCTTGTGACACAGCGGTTAAGTGCGCACATTCGGCTTCAGCAGCCCCTGTTCGCCACTTCAGATCCCGGGTGTGGACCTACACACTGCTTGTCAAGCCATGCTGTGGTAGGCATCCCACATATAAAGTAGAGGCAGATGGGCATGGATGTTAGCTCAGGGCCAGTCTTCCTCAGCAAAAAGAGGAGGATTGGCAGCAGATGTTAGCTCAGGGCTAATCTTCCTCAAAATAAAATAAAATAAAACAAAACATGGAAGTGTGATAATGGAAGGTTTTTCCCTAAAAAAAGCATGACATTCAGTATAAGGGAACATTTATTAGGTTCTCAACCCTGAAACAATGCCTTGACTATTTAACAAAGTTATATTTCAAATGCTGTAATATGTCGGCCCTCACAACTTAAGATACACATAATTTATTGAGAATTATGTAGGACTAATAAAATTAATAATTATTATTACAAAATCAGCTATCATTTAGTCAGCCAATTGTGCTTGAAGTATTTTGTACAGATTCTCTTATTTAATCTTCACAGTAAGAGTGAAAGAAAGAAAAAAAACCCTGTTAGTCTCACAAAGGAGAACTCACTCTCAGGAAGATTATGTAACTTTTCCAGGGTTACAGTTCGTCATTGACAGAGCAGAGATTTGAACTCAGGATTGTTATGACTTCAAAAACCAGTATTCCTTCTGGCCCAAACTGCTTCTCTAGGTAGAACATTAGGAAACTAAACTAAATGACCTTGCAGGTCCTTTGTACATCTAGAAGCTAAAACTCTTCTTTCTACTGGGCAAATCCACCTGAGGGTATTAAGCTCGAAGCCCTGCTCCTTCTAGCAACTCTCCAATCCCTATGTGCTTCAGGGAAAAAAGCGAGAGGGGAAGAAATAAAAAGGAAGAGAGAACATTTTTTTTTGGTTAGTGTCGTCAAATCGATTCTGACTCCTAGCGACCCTGCTGCATTGCAGAGCTGAAACCTGCCCAGCCTTTTCCCACGACCCTCTCGCCTTCCGGGGCTATTTAGAGGATTTTCATGGCCAACTTTTTTGGGAGTGAGTGGCCAGGTCCTTCTTCCTAGCCTGTCTTAGTTTGGAAGCTCGTCTGAAACCTGTCCACCATGGGTGACCTTGCTGGTATTTGAAATACTGGTGGCACAGCTGTCAGCATCACAGCCACAAGCAGCCGCCACAGTATGACAACCAACAGACAGGAGGCACGCTTCCTTGACCGGGAAATGAACCTGGGTCGCAGTGGTGAGAGTATCGAATCTTAACCAAGAGATAATTAAAGTTAAGCCTTTCAGATACAAAACGGTAACCTGCAGGTAATGAGGAGCACTAAGAAAGCGAGAGCACAGGAAAAGGAAAGAATTTCAATTGGCCATTAGAGAATTTCCTGACAACAAAAAAATTGAGACACTGGAACACATTATCAGAGAACATTATGTAGGATAAACAAGAAAATACAACCTCGTGAAGGGCTGTCAACACACAAATAGTGTCAACATACACACAAGATGGGGAAGTACAAATATAGCCTACTTGGCTCAGCCTCACTTATAATTTAAAATAGAAAAGAAAAAAAGGAAAGTGGTAAAATAAGCTTGATGGCAGCCATCAGGAAACGGCACTATAATTCTGCCAGCCTAAATACAAGTTAGCAAAATGCTAACCCAAATATTTGTGCCACATTTTTCAAAGGACCCATCACTGCACAGGTACCATTTTATATTTTCTTTCAATTCACTATCCAGTAATCCACATCTCTATTCCCTCTGCAAATTCATATTCAGATTGAAAACACTACTCTGGTCTAGGCTCAACATTAGCCATTGTAAACACACTGGTAAAATAAAACCCGGATTTTGTTAGTTTTTCAAGTATGTGTTGGGAGAACTTTGAATAAAAAATGTCACAAAGATAATTTCCTCTGGGGTTAAAAACAAAAAAAGACAAAACCCTCCCTAACTTGGGTGGAACTGTTAGACTGAGGAGAGTCGTGCCTGTTTCTCACCTGTATCCCTTCTCTCACCACGTGAAATCACACACAGGCTAAGGTCCAAAGCTGACTGCCTTAGGAAGCTGCAGACTCAGCAACTTCGTTTCTCCCCTTCCAATGTCAGCTGAGTTTTGATGCAACCTTTACCAATCTGTCAAAAATGAGAAGTCTACATGTTCCTGGCAGTAACAGGATTCTGTCACTTTTATTATGACAAGAAATATGTTTCTTTTATGATGATTATGTATTATCAGGAAAAAAAACCGTGGCTATTTCCATTAAAAAATAAATGCACTCAAGTCAGTCAAGTTAATGCTTTTGTATTCCCCTCCTGTTTTCCTCTACAGCCACTGCCACTCTAAAGAGAAATAATTCCTCAGCTTCTGGTCTCACCTAAACCTGCTCCTTTCACGCAAAACAGAAAAGACTCCTGACCATGAATTATTCGGTTCTAATAATACGCCCCACGGAAATACAGTAGTTGGGAGCATAGGTACCAGTTTGGGGAGACTTAACACTCTCGGGAGGACCCACCTTGTGAGTAGAGAAGGATCTGCATCTCGAGAAGAACACAGGTGAACACTTGCACCAGATTCTCCAAGCCCAGGAGCTCAAAGGCCTCTCGAAGAGGATAATCGGAGAGCGGGAGTTCGTTGGGTCCAGGCCTCTGGCAGATGACAGGTTCATAAACACCATAAAATTTCAGTGATCTCCCCGGAGGTGGGAGGGGTACCTCATAGAGAATATTATGGATGTAGCTTTCCAGTGGCAAAGGTGGCGGCTGCTGGGAGGTAACTGCCTTGTAAAGCTGGATGAGGAATTTCTTGCAGGCCTGCATGAAAGGCAGCGGGGTGATCAAACATATACTTTTGGAAACATACAGGGTGTCTCTGCTGATGTCATAGGAGTTGTATCGCTGGAGCTTCAAAAGGGAAGTTGTGTCGCCCTCATCGAGACTGCTTGCCAGCGAGTCCATGCTGCAGGAGGACGAGGCGTAAACGCTGCTGTAATGCTCTGCGTTGTGCATCTGGTAGAGCGTCTGCATGGCTGTGCAGATCTGCTTGCTCGTAACTTCTTCATAAAAAGTGAGAACAAAGCCATAGGTGCGAGAACCGTCTTCCCGGGTGATGATAAACGAGTGGAACTGAGGGTCTTTATTGTCAGTTTGTGTTCTGAAAGACAGCCCTTTGGGCATGCACAGCTGTGGAGGAAGGGGGAAAGAGCATCAGAACGCAGTACACAAACAGCTTCAAACCAGAAAAAAATGTCTGTGGACCTCTATCCAGGCTTGTGAGCTTCAGCGAGTCATGTAACTTCTCTGAGCCTCAGTTTATCTACAACAAATGCTACATCGGTGACTCGAAGATGAAATAAGCAAGGGCACTCCACAAATATTTAAAATTTAAGTATTATTTTTGGAGCAATGATGGTAATGTTTAAGAAGAATAGGGAAACAGGTGAAGGCTCATTTGATAAACGGAAAAAGTTAAACAGAATAATAGAAACAATAGTATCATCTTTGCTATTTTGAACAATATGATACTTCTAGAAAAATAAACTTTGAAAATGGAATGATTTTTGATTTACTGAAGCATAAATGTAGAAGTTTTAGATTATTTCCAGTAGAGATTATGCTCTAGGTCTTGGGAACTACCTAGGATATAGTCAAACTTGGGAATAAAATTAGCTGACGAGTTAAAGATACTATCTATATTTAAGACACTTAAAATGCAGAAGAAATTAGAACTGATTTTTCTCAAAACATTTAAAATGAAAGAAACAAATTACAGAAAATTTGAAATATACTAAGGAAAATAAAACTTGTAACTCAACTATTCTAACATAATAATTATTAATTTTTATATATTCCTTTCTACTGTTGTATTACAACATGCTTTCTGCATAGAAATAATTTACCACACTTTACATTTTTTTTTCAGATTTAATAATCGAGCTGGTGTAAAATTTAGAAGTTCCCCCAAATTCTCACATTACCAAGAAAACACAATTCACCTTAAAAACTACAGGTCCTTCATTCAAACTGTCAGCAAACACCTATTAAGTGCCTTCATGAGCTGGGCCCTGTGATGTTGACACCACGATGAGAAAGACAGACATGGTCCCTGTTCCTTTGGAGCTTCCAGTCTAGCAGGGATGACAGATGGTTAAAAAATCATAATGTATGGGAAATGCTAAAATAGGGTAAATACAGGCTGCTATCCACAGCAGGAGGATATAAATGAAAAAAGAGGAAGGTAACAGAACCAAAATGAAGGCCAAAACTTGAGGATGAGTATGGTGTTAGTGAGATGATGAGAAGGGAGACAGGACAGTGCAAAAGCCCAGAAGACAGAACATGAGAGTTTGAGGAAACGAAACACATTCATTGTGGGTGGGGAACAGAATGCAAGGTGGATGGAGATGAAAGAATGTAGGAGAAACAATTAGGGGCCGGGTCACAAAGGGCCTTAGTAAGTCATGTTAGACGTCTGAGACGGCCTGGTGGCACAGCGGTTAAGTTCACACGTTCCGCTTCAGCAGCCCAGGGTTCACTAGTTCGGATCCCAGGTGCGGACCTATGCACTTGCTTGTCAAGCCATGCTGTGGCAGGCATTCCACATATAAAGTAAAGGAAGATGGGCACGGGTGTTAGCTCAGGGCCAGTCTTCCTCAGCAAAAAAAGAGGATTGGCAGGGGACGTTAGCTCAGGGCTAATCTTCTTCTTCTTCAAAAAAACCAGTCTGAGGAGGACAATGGGGCACATCAACTTTCCTGCACTGAAGGGTAGTGGTTTCCAAAGGGGTTCCAAGGAGGCAGGAGGAATGCCTGAGGGCCTTGGAGACACCTTTCTCTCTGATCCCATATCCAATCCATCAACAAAGATCATCAGTTCAACCTTCAAAAATATATTCAGAAACAAATTACTTCTTCCCATCTTTGCTCTTCCTACTCTAATCTCAGCCACATTCTTCTCTGCCTGGATGGCTATTTAATATATCTTGCTAACCAGTCTCCCTGCTTTTGCCCTTGTCCCCCATAATCTATTCCCCATACAGTAGCCAAAATGATCCTTAAAAAATGTTAGATCTTGTCACTCTTCTCAAAACCCTCCAATGGCCTTTCATCAGACTAAAGGCCAAAATCCTTATGCATAAGGCCCTACAATGACCTGGACCCAGCAACTTCTCGGGCTTCATCTCCCACTACTCTTTGGCTCACCTACTCTGCTCCAGAAACACCGGCCACATTGCTGTTCTGTGAACACACCTAGTAGGCTCTTGCCAAAATTTGCTGTTCCCTCTCGTTGGAACAATCTTCCCCTAAGTATCCACAGGATTCACTCCCTGTGATAAATTGTATTTTCTAAAAATGGCTCCAAAACAATATCTACTTCCACATGCTCTTCCAGAACCTTGCCACTCTCCCATCAAGAGCCTGGCTGGGCCGCTGAGAGTGCCTACACCGGGGATCCACAAACTTGTTCTGGCTCTGGAAAGAGTCAGATAATAAATATTTTAGACTCTGCAGCCCATACAGTCTTTGTCACAACTACTCAACTCTACCACTGTAGCATGAAAGCAGCCACTGACAGCACAAAGGAATGGGCATGACTTTGTTCCAATAAAACTTTATTTATAAAGTAGGCAGTCAGCTGGATTTGGCCTGAGGGCCATGGTTTTGCCTATCCCTAGCCCAGTGAAGTTAAATGCAATGGAGGTAGCAAGTGACACTGAGTGACTTCTGAAGCAAGACTAAAAAAGGCATTACATCTTCCACCTCTCTCTCTCTCTGGTCACATACCCTGAGAGCCCTGATCCAGCATATAAGAAGTCTGGCTAACCTGAAGCTGTCATGCTGGAGAGCCCACATGGAAAGATCGCACAGACAAAGAGGGAGCTCCAGCTGTTTTCCTAGCCCAGCAGACAAAACTGTGAGTGAGTGAGCCTCAGACGATTCCTAGTCCTGAGCCTTCAAATCGCCCTAAGTGACATCCGGTAGAGCGGAGATGGGCTACTCTGCCAAACTCTACTCAAACCATAGATTTGTAAGCTAAATCATGACTTTGTTGTTTTAAAACAAGAGTCACCAAACTACAGCCCCAATCTGCAACTCGTTTCTGTAAATAAAATTGTACTGGAACATAATCAGGCTCATCCATTTAGGCATTGCCTATGGCTGCTTTCGCACTACCACAGCAGAGCTGAGCGACTGTGACAGAAACCGTATGGCCCACAGCGCCTCCACTGTTGACTGTCTGGCCCTTTGTGAGTAGTATTAGGATCGTCTACGCAGCAAGAGATAACGGGAACACTCCTGTACTTCCTTTAAGCCAGCATATAAACACTACCTTAAAGAGGCCTTCCTTTACCTTCCCATAAAAAATAGTGTTTTCATCCTATAAATGTCATTAAAATGTTACTTCTCCTCTTAAAAGTCTTTACTGAAGGAAGCAATTAAAATCTTGCACCACTTTATACATATGTACGATGTATACTGACACACATTACTAGTTTCTCTAATTACATCTGATCTCTAGATTGCAAACTACTCAAGGACTGGGAACAAGAAACATTCAAGAGTACCACACATTAAAAAATATACTATTTGTCACCATAATAGAATTGCGATTGATAAGGATAAAAAGCAAAAACCATGAAGCTCAGCATTAGTACGCCAGTGAAAATGTCTTTATATTTCCTATCAGTGAATATGAGACTTGGAAAGAACTAAGGGAGCTCTGCTTCTTTTTATATATATTGACAATAATTAAATTACTGTGTAAATTTGGGTAGAATAAGATATTGACCTAGGTAAACACAGGAATACCTGGATTTGCTAGGGGAAAAAATTGCTTATTCCTAATCTTGGGAATAAGTGTATAAGGAAAGGATGGGGCAGGATCTTCTCATAATCATGCCTTCACATTCAGGCTGCTTTCATCATAACAAGTCAGTGAGATCCTGTGCTGATATTATGAATGAAAACTCACCTGACACATTTACTATAGTCAATAAAAACTGTAGGAAGGATGGTTTGAATTACTCTTACTCCAGGCTAAGCTCAGACTTATTTAGCACAGTGCATGGCACGTAAGTATTCGTTGAATGAATGAACAAGAAAACAAACAGAAACAACAGCTGGGAGGACAGGGTCAGATTCACCTCGTCTCTCGATTCAGTCTGCAGTTCTCTTTTTACATCAAATAGGCAAAACAGAAACACAGTGACCTCCAGAGTCAACATAAAGATTGAATTTAATTGATAGGCTTTCCTGACATCATAAACCACAAAATTACAGCTCCAACTGCTTCTGGACAGCTGCCAAATATTCCCTTACGGGTTCGTAGCTTTCTTGAGCACGCATTCAAACATTTACAGGAAAAGCTTGCCAAAAGTTGTGCTTAAAGTGAAGAATGACTTTCTATGCTACAGATGACAGATGTAAGAATTCTTAAATTCTCTTCCTACAAATCAAAAAAGTGAGAATTAAATTTCTAATCTGGGAAAGCATGAGGTGGAAAATGCTATTGCTTTTTCATTTTTTAAAAGTGAGAATCGTTGTATGACTTGTCAGGTTTATTTTTCAGAAAACCTGAGATATAAATCAAGATTTGCTCACCATGGCATTCAGCAATCTCTTGTTATTCCCGAATATTGCTGTTTACTAGCATTATCCCCTTCCCACCCCGCTCTCCCACAACAGAACAACTAGACATTTAGAGTTGTCACTGTTGACCAGATCACCACTGCTAAGCAGATTAGTTTAGCTACAGTGGGCTCACGTGCTGTGTAGCTCTCCTGGTTTCAGGGACCAAATGTCCTTCTTATCTCTCTGGACTCTTTTGGGCAGTTCGGCTAGAATTTTAACAATTCCCTGTTCCATTTTCTATAGTCTATGACTCCCATGCCCTCTCTCTTATTACACAAATAAAAAAGAAATTATTCAGAAAACTCTCCAAGAGTTGGTCAGTTTGCCCTTCCTTCCATCTCTCTTTCTGCTTTCTTCTTTTATTTTCTTTTCCCCTTTTTCTCCCCAAAGCCCCCAGGTACATAGTTGTGTATTCTTAGTTGTGGGTCCCTCCAGCTGTGGCGTGTGGGACGCCGCCTCAGAGTGGCTCGATGAGTGGTGCCATGTCCACGCCCAGGATTCGAACCAATGAAACCCTGGGCCGCCTGCAGTGGAGCTCGCAAACTTAACCACTTGGCCACGGGGCCGGCGCCCTTTCTTCTTTTAGTAAACATTTATTTCCTGTCATATATTGCATTAGATCTTGGTATCTCAAAAGACCAATCTGAAAATAATCCCTTACTTCAGGGAGCTTACAGTCTAATAGGAAAGACAGACATATAAAGCATTGGTTACAAAACAATGTGATCAGTGCCACTCTGGAGCGTGTTCAAGATGCTGTAGGAATACAGATGAGACAGCACCTAACAACTCTTGCTTAAGAGACGGTTTCACAGTGGAGGTGACACCTGAATCGACAGGATGGGGAAGGGAAGTATTGTAAGCAGGCAAATATTGCTTCATTTTTTCAGTGATTTGAACCTCTACTAGGTGCAAAGCTGGGGCTATAGCCATGTTCCTGTCCTAATGGTGCTTACATTATAGCAGGACACAGACCTGACAGCTAGCCGCATAATTAATCCATTGCAATTGTGACAGTAATACAAAGAGGTACAAGGTGCTACAAGAACCTAGGGGGATCTGAATGAATGTTGGAAAGGTGGTGGTCAGGGATGGCTTCTCTGAGAAAATCATGTTTAAAATGAAATCTGAAGGGTCAATAAGAAGAATTCACTAGGTAAAGGAGAAGTGGAAGAGCCTTTCGAAGGGAAGTGACAGTGTAAGCTGAAGCCGAAGTGTGAAGCCAGTTAGACAGGCGCTGCAGGAGTCCAGGTAGGAGAGCTTGGTGGTTTGGACTAAGGTGGATGTGTAGAGACAGAGAGAAGCAGACAGACAACTGACTGCATATGGGAGGGGGTGAGAAGGTGAGAACTTTCAAGGATGATGCTAGATTTTTGGTTTAGGCAGCTAGGTAGATGGTTGTCCCATTCACTGACCAAGGTTGGTGGGAAGATTGTGAATTCAGTTTGGGACACGCTGAGTTTGAAACACCAGCGAAATATTCTAACTGAGATGTTAAGAAAACAATTGGGCTTCCCCAGTAATGGCTGGATTAGAGCCCCAATTCTCATGATTTTATTATGAGACATGAACTCAAACTCGGGTCAAAATGAGGGCTTTCATTTTAATGTCAAACCTATTAATGTAACTAAGAGTTATCCATTTCAAGTTCAAGTACTTGCTGAGTCTGTACAAAGTACACAGTGCCCCTTTTCCTTTGAATCTTGCAAGATGGGCATGTGAATAGGTTTTTTTCAGCTAATCTTTTCCTTTACTCTTTGCTCATCATTCCACTCCACCCTTCTCTGTGATCAAAGTAAATAGAAAATTGTAAAGTTAGAGCTTTAGAGATTATAAAGAGATTTATAATAGTTATTACTCTTCTACTACCTGAAATATCATATATGAGATGTTTCATTTAGGGCATAAATACAAAATAGAATCTTATTTCATATAACTTGCTTAAAAAGGTATTGACCAGGGGCTGGCCTGGTGGTATAGTGGTTAAGTTCTCACACTCTGCTTTGGTGGCCTGAGGTTCATGGGTTCAGATCCCAGGCGTGGACCTACACACCACTCACCAAGCCATGCTGTGGCAGTATCCCACACACAAAATAGAGGAAGACTGGCACAGATGTCAGCTCAGGGCCAATCTTCCTCACCAAAAAAAAAGGTATTGACCATATTTTCTTCCTATCGATTCCTGGGTTCACTCCATTTGTAAGGATAAGATCTATCTACTAGAACATTACATAAATAGTAATAAATGCCAATATGCAGATTATCTCCAAGATATCTGAAATGGGGGGGACAGGCAGGGGAACTTCAGCTCTACTTGTGATGCTTTGTTTCATTTAAGAGGAAAGGTACGGATCTGAAGCAAATTTGTCAATGCGGACACGTGTTAGTTCTGGGTCACAGGTATATGATTGTTTGTTGTATTGTTCTCTCTGTTTTATGAGACTTCTGGTTTTTTTTCCCATAAAAAAAATCTCTGAATCAGCAACCAAAAGAGACATAAAAAGCAATTAATTCAGAAATAATTTCACCTGTCACTTATATCTATTTTCTATTATATTTGCACTGCACTCATACACATGGAATTTTATTTAACAAAGTTCATTGCTTTGGGGGACTTAACTTCTGTGTGAAATTAACGAGCCTTACTCAGAGTACCACTTTGGTTGTTAGTGGAATGAGTGGTATTACAGAAGGCAAGGATGTGCGGGAGTGGGAGTTTGCTAAAGGCAAGAACAAAGCTTTCTACCTTTAGGTGAGAATAAATTATAGTTTCATACAAATGCACTTACTAATAAATCAAAGAGGAAATTAAGGGCAGTAAATCTATGACCCAAATGCAGACTAGTTTAATGGGATGCTTTTCAGAGATTTTCAAGGAGTGCCAGCAAATCCTTTCAGATTTGCAGCAGTAAACAAAATGCTCTGTGGTGCTTAACCATCAAAACACAAGCCTATGTTTTATTCTTCAGACAGAAACTTGCTGCTTACATAAAATAACCTCAGAGGCAAGGAGTAAAGAACATATCAAAGGCAGATCAAGGAAGCTGATAATTGCTTTAAAGATGAACGTTTTGTAGATGGAGACAAAAGCTATCAGAGATATTTCACTATTCATCCATTCAAATGATTAAAAGAAAGAAAAAACATCCAGTGTGGCATTTTGTTCCACATGGCTGTGGATTCATAATGTCATAAGAACCTAGTTTTGAACACCCTTCTGATTTCTCACAGAATAATTTATACTTTGAAATATCTTACTAAGTTAGGAAGACAAAATGTTATAATCTACTGACATTCTTATCCATTTTTCCATTGCTTCATTTAGACACTCTTTCTTTCATATCTTTCCATTCATTTGCTGGCACAGCAGCTGATAAATTATTTTTTGTCACTGCTGACTATTTTCGTCAGAAGCTCGTCCGTGCTCCTCCAAGTCTCGTAAATCTAACTAACAGTTGTGTTCCATGTAATATCTATGGTGCTGTCTTCACAGCACTAACTGCCAGCAAAATGGCATCTCTGATTAATTTGGTATTGGGTGGATAACAGTTGAGAGAAATAACCACCTTGTGCTCTGTGAAGAACCCAAGTCAAAGCGCCAAATGCTTAGGCATTTGTCCTTAGAAGTACCATGCTACTCCCTCCCTGGAGCAAGCCCAGACTGGAAAGGGTTTCCTGTGACACAGAAATACCACAAAGGGTCCAGTGTGAGCCAGGTCATTTTGGAGCAGGTCAAAACTAAGTTACAGTTTTTCCATGAGGGAGGCAGCATGCAGGTGGGAAAAAAAGTGAGCCAGAGAGGAAAAATGACCTGCATTCAATCTCTGAGGCTCCCTGCTGAACGTCGGGCAAGTAACTGTGAAATACGAATAAGAATCCTCACTGGGCACATGCCAGCGCGCATGTGAAAGTAACATACATGAAGTATGTGGCAGGCACCTACTAAACATTCATTTCCTTCCCTTACACTATCACCTCAGAAAGGGGTTTTTTGGCTCTACCTTTAAAATACTCAAAAAGAATGACACCTATCAGCGTCTCCGTCCACTTTAGTCATTTCTGTGCCTGTCATGCCTGATCTCCGATTTGCTCACTTGGGGGTTCTCTTATTTTTATAATCACAGAGTTCATGGAGGCCCAAAATATCATCCAGGACCTTCTAGGCAGGACCCTTCCTAAATGACCTGAAAACTATGACCTACTATATTTCTAAGAATCTCTGAAGGGACTTAAAATCACCATGGTAACTCATCACATTAATTCAAATTCCTTATAAACAAATCCTACTAATGTCTAAATGATTGAAGTTCCTTTCCCTCTTTACTTTGTGAATGTGATAAATTACAGGCCCATCATACAACATTCCTTGAAATGTGAAAACTATAATCATGCTCCTTCTATCAGGCTCCTCCCCGGGCAAACAAAGTAATATCACTGATTATCAAAGTATCTATGTATTGATTAATGCACACTCACAACACAGCTTAATAGTAGGAAAAGAAAACGGGCTTTGAGGGTCTGCTGTCTACACTTATTAGCTGTGGGGACCCTAAGCAAGTTACTTAACCTCTCTGGGCTTCATTTTCCACATCTGTAAAATGAGGATAAGATTCTCTTATAGAATTGTTTATTTAAAGGGTTAAGTTAAACGAAATAATGTAGACATTCAAAATATAGTCACTAGTGTCATCTTAATAACAAACAAAAAGCAGGCTAAAGAGGAAGAGAAAAACACCTACCATGTTCACTGCATCTTGATCAAAAGGGTTCCATTCTATATTCTGAGGGTAGTGGGCCAGAACTTTGGATTTGAATGTTCTTCTCAAAGGACTCTGGTCAAAATTTTCACCTACAACAAATAATTCATAATTAGTTAATATGCAAATTTTTTTCAAAAGCCTCTCATAGTCGCTTTTAGTTTGTGGATGTATTGACTGAAATCTAACAGTCTGAGTTGTCAAGTTCTCAATGGATAACTGAAAAGGAACTGTTAGTAAGAGATTTGTACTTAAAACTTCAGAATCTGAATTTTAAAATCCTGGCTGGACACTGATACTAAAAACCACAATAAGCTAAAACAGTCCTTGCTGTAACCCAATTACTGTCCTCATTTCAATATGCGGTGATAAAAAAAGTCTAGTTGGAAACATTTAATTCACTAAAGAAACATCTTGAATTAAGCTAATCATACTTCTTATGATCCCGAAAGTTTGTACAGGGATAGACTCAGTGCTGCGGGGCTGAAAGGAGGCAATTTTGCTTGAATTTCCACAAAAACCTCTGATAAACATGACTGCGTCTCCGGGCTGTTACAAGTAACAGAATCAGAAATGTCATTACTGAGTTGTCTAGTTTAGTAGACAGAACACAGGAAACACACTAACCTCTGAAAAGAAACAAGCTAGTCTAAGCCAAATTCACCACCTGTCAAAATTCTGGAAAGATAAAAGTAGGCTACACTTTAACTAGTACATATTAGAAAATTCAATAACAGCTGTCAGCTCAGTTTTTTAACTCCTTGACCAAAAATGAACTCCCATGAGACCTGTCCCCTGCAAATGCTTCATTTCATAAAAGATTTTAATGTGGACGGATCTTAAATTCTCAACGTCAAAAAGCTGAGATTGGGGAATTAGAAGACCTCGGAGAAATATCATTCTGTCTCCTGTGTTTTTTTCTACTTTTTAAGTTCTAATCAAGTGCAAAACACGAGCTGTCATATCAAAAGATACATGCCACTTACCAGTATTTGTACAAGTAAAAATATCGTAAAGCAATTCATGAGTCACACTTGGATATCTAGTTAGACCCAGTTTCCATTTTTTTGGTAAAAATATGAAAAGATGAATACTAAAACATCTTTTAGTGCAAAACCTAACAGATCAGAGAAGGAGGGAAAAGTCGCACTCGAAAATCTTGTTGGAGACTGCAAAATAAAATATACAGGAGTTTTTCTGAATAAAGGCACATAATTTCAACAGATTTGCTGCAGCAACTAACCTACTGTTTCTAATTCAAGCTCTTTTTTCCTTCGGATTCCTCTTACTTACTTAGGCAAATACTTCATCCTGTTTATCTTTCTACCCCATATTTCCATCTTCTAACAGACAAGAGTAGAGAGCTTCCACTTCTAGAAGAAAAACTGTCAAAGGTGTCCTTGAGGAAAGTTTACCAATTTTTGCACCATGCTTCCAGGTATGTAAACACCAAAAAGTCAATGGAAAAATGTGAAACCATCAATGTGTCTGAAGAAGAGAGTCAAGATCCAGGATGGGTGATTTTAGGAAGGGTATGTGATATCTTTAAGCTGACACTAGATTCTCATGCAAACAACAAGAATTTTTAGATTAGCCTTTCTTCATTAAAAAAAAAAAAGGTTACTTTTCGCTTGACTTTAAGTCAGAGAAAAAAACAAAGCAAAACTTCCCTTCTGGTTCTAAAGGTCCATGCTGCTGACTGTGCTACTGACACAGAACAGGATATCCTCAGATAATATATAGCCATCAAGAAACCCTCTCCTTCACCCACCCTCAAATACCAGAATTGCTTACTTTTATCATCCATAAATGTAAAATAAAATATGAAACACTGCAGGGGCAGAAGAAACAGTACATAACATGGGATATTATTCCTTGCAACACTTACCTTTTAATGAATTCCTGCCTGAGTTTGGTTAAAATAGTAACACTATCTTCATTCATATATCAAGTTATTAATGGGACAGGAGATAAATCAGAAAAGTCATGACAGTGCCATTTTCGACATAATTGTTCTCTTAACTAAGGAACACCACACCCTCTTGAGGCACAATGAATCAACCAGAAGAGAGAGAAGGAAAACCACCCCTGGAGAGAAAAAATTTCACAAAAAGAAAGAACGGAAAAAATCCATGAAACAGAAACACAAATCTAACAAAAGAAAAACAGAACCACCACCACTACCACCACTTCTTATTAGACTGACAAAAAAGGGGGCGATAGGAAAGATCACAGTTATATATGCAGCTGTCTTGGCAAATATTTTGAAGGAAATCAGAGGAAGAACCAACTTTGTAGAAATTCTGATAACACTGTTAAGGATTTAGAATGAACGAGTGGACGCAGCTAGTACCCTGCCAAAGAAGAGAATCTTAGAGATGCCTTCTGTAGATGTGAGATGGAGCGGCAACCTGCTCATCTCATTTTGAACCCATGTTTTATAAATCTCTAACTTAGAATTTCCTGCTAGGACTTACCAGGAGAAATGAATCAGTCCAAGAATTTGGATTCCCAGGAAATGAAAATTATACATAAGCATACTTTAATTAAAATCCACCTTGTAATCATTATCTTGAAATGAACAAGGATTGTAAATTTGTGCAAATATTAATGTCCCCCACTACAACTACATGTGGACTTAATTCCAAGTAACAGGGCCAAGTAACCTCCTACTAAATTTAAGCTGCAATTAAACCTTTCCTCCTAAGAAAACAGGCCATATCTGCCAAGAGAGCTTAAAGACTAGGAATAATTTTTTCAAGGCTTGAAGCAAATGAGGTCTTCATCAAAATTAAGATGTAGATGAGAGAAGAGAAATTATCTATTTTTTTGCCCAAGCAAAAATGAATAAAGAAACAATCATGATGGGCTTGGGGTGAATAAAAATAATGATTTCGAACACCTCAGCTTTTATTTTTCTTTTTACCTGAAGTCGTATTGGCAGCATCTTGGCTCTTGCCATGACGATCTGCTTCGAGCCATTGGTACAAAACTACATAATGTAACAGAGACAAAAAAGCTTTATGAACACAAACGCAAACAAACAAAAAAGCAAAAATGACTTTGAAGAATGGAAAATGAGAAGAAAAAATTAAACAAAAGCAATTAAACGTGAGACATTAACATCAATGGAATGTAGCTTAACACCAATAGTATGTAGCTTATAAAATACTAGTAAAAAAGAAAGCAAAGAGAACAGAATTGTATTTTAATGTAATAAGTGAAATGCTCTTTAAACACCTGTAACAGTTATTCATATGGGAAAAAGCACACATATTCTTTTTTCTATTTTTCTTTTTTTTGCTTGAGGAAGATTAGCCCTGAGCTAACATCTGCTGCCAATCTTCCTCTTTTTGCTGAGGAAGACTGGCCCTGAGCTAACACATCTGTGCCCATCTTCCTCTACTTTATATGTGGGACGCCTGCCACAGCATGGCTTGCCAAACGGTGCCACGTCCGCACCCGGGCTCTGCACTGGCGACCCCCAGGCCACCTAAGCAGAATGTGCGAACTTATCTGCTGCGGCACCGGGCTGGCCCCCACATATTCTTTTCTTAATGCTAATTTGAAGAGAAATATCAGGAGAAATGTTTCTGTAGTCAGATATAATAAAATATGATAGTAAGACTAAATGACCAACTTCAAAAATTACATCCCAACCTCTGCATTACTATCAGAATGACTGAAGTGCAAAAAACTGACTATACCAAATGCAGACAAGGATGTGAAGTGACAGAATTTTCAAAAACCACTGCTGGGAATGCAAAATGGTACAGCCACTTTGGAAGACAGTTTGGCAGTTTCTTATGAGGCTAAACATAGTCTTACCATATGATCCTATAACCCCAGTCTAAAGAGGAGAAAAATCAGACAAATTCCAAGAGGAGCAACCTACACTATAATTGACGAACACCTGTCAAAACTGTCATGGTCGTCAAAAATAAGGAAAGTCTGAGAAACTGTCACAGCCAAGAGGAGCCGAAGGAGACGTGACAAGTGAATGTAACGTGGTGTCCCAGATGGGATCCTCCAACAGAGAAAGGACATTAAGTAAACACTAAGGAAATATGAATAGGGTATAGACTTTGGTTAACAACAATGTATCAATATTGAGTCATCAATGGTAACACATGCATTGGACTACTATAAGACGTTGATGATAGGGAAAACTGTGTGTGGGGACGGGGTGGAGGGTATACGAGAACTCTATATAATCTTCTCAATTTTTCTGTAAATCTAAAACTGCTCTAAAAATCAAGTCTGTTTTAAAAACTACATTTCAATACTTAAGGACAAAAGCATACATTATACCCACTCTTCTAAGTAGTCTACCTTTTGTAAATCACTAGGCAAACCTAAGCTGAAGTTTGCTCTGTACTGAGATTCCATTTAATCAACTATCCTCTTAAGCACTATTAACTAGGAAGTGTCAACTCCTGGAGGGAAGTTTACTACAATGAGGACATAGGCTATTAATAAATCCACACTATAGCTCTGTAACTTAGCAACTCTGAAAACTGTTAAAGCTTCCGGATGTCTTCTATGGGTTACCCAGATGTCTACAACTTTCAGACCTCTTTAAAGAGATGTCAGAGTCTTTGCTTTAAAGAGTCAGATAATGATAATGTAGGGTCCTCATGGCCAGGGAAGCTTCCTGTCCACTCCTCAAAGGAAGGAAGGATCCCGGGGGAGTAACAAAGGCTGAGCGGCTACTCTACAGGGCTATTTACCCACAGATACTGTGAGAGTTCTAGATCCCCAACAAGGTTTGCACAAACTCTCTACGCCCTCCGTCTACAAAAACAATAACAAAAACCAAGGGCTGGGAAAGCTGCCTGTGGAACTCCTGAACTGAAGGAACAAAGGAACCGATTCATTATAAATGACTAAGGGTACCTTGAAATCACCAAGGAAGTTATTTGGATCTTTAGGGACAGCCAGGACTGTGAACTGACATCCATCATGAGGGATAAACGGCCCCAAACAGCCCCCACACCTACATCCAGTGTGCAAGGCCCGGGTTGAGGGTGCCCCAGCGAGCACACAGTCAGCACTCTCCTCCAGGACACTGCACACTTCTGGGAGGCAAAGGATTATTACAACTGAGAGCAGCTGGAAAGAATTCGAGAAGCAGACCTCACTCATTAAGTATATGCTACAGATATTTCCTCTTTCTAGTTTACAGGAATAACAACCACTCATGAGAGCAGAGTAGAACAGAGTAGAGCAGTAGCAGACCAGGACACAAAAATCTCCCGTTTGGAAAAGCAAGCACGAATTTTACAACTAACACTGACTATCACTCTCACCAAAATGAAGCATAAAGTAGGGAAATTAATCCATTAACTGGTCTAACAATTCTGCCTAACTCCTATCTAAAGTCTGTTCTGCTCCGATTAAAGTGGAAATTCGGGCGTGTTCTGGGTATTACTAGGAGTATTTTCCAATAGTTACAATTACCTCATACAGCCCTTGTTTCTAGTTTTATCAGAGAAAAAGAAAAAAAAAATGGAAGCTATTCCAGGTCAATTTACTCTGACCAGTTACACAGAGAATTGTACATAAGTAAAAATCATTTTAATAGATTTAGAGGTTCAATTATTTTCATTGCTTCCAGATTACCAAAGTCCAATTAACTATGGTCTAAATAATTCAGTGAATTTCCAGTGAAATAAGTGCATCTGCTTCATGCAAAGCTATAATGTGAATCACCATTAGACCAAATTTGAATTTCAAAGTCTACTTTATAGCACATCCAGTCATTTGCCGCATAACGACATTTCGGTCAACGATGGATGGCATATAAAGACAGTGGTCCTGGGGGCTGGCCCCGTGGCCAAGTGGTTAAGTTTGTGCCCTCTGCTTTGGCAGCCCAGGGTTTCGCCAGTTTGAATCCTGGGCTGGGACATGGCACTGCTCATCAGGCCACACTGAGGTGGCGTCCCACATACCACAACAAGAGGGACCCACAGCTAAAAATATATAACTATGTACTGGGGGGTTTGGGGAGAAAAAGGAAAAATAAAATCTTTAAAGACAGTGGTCCCATAATGCAGCTGAAAAATTCCTATCGCCAAGTGACACTGTAGCCATCATAATGTCATAGTCCAAAGCATCATTCACGTGTGCGTGGTGATGCTGGTTTGTAAACAAACCTTCAGGTCCATCAGGAGGTATTCCAGAAGAATGCATTGTTATCAGAGGAGATGACAGATAGCTGCACACACGCTATCGCCCCTGAAGTCCTTCCAGTGGGACAAGACGTAGAAGTGGAAGCCACTGATAGTGAGGATCCTGACCCTATGCAGGCCTAGGCTAATGCGTATATTTGTTTCCTAGTTTTTAACAAAAAAAATTTAAAAAGTAAGAAGAAAAATTTGAAAATAGAAAACGCTTATAGAATAAGAATATAAAAAAAGAAAATATTTTAGTACAGCTATACAATGTACTCTTTTTTTTTTTTTTAAGATTTTTAATTTTTTTCCTTTTTCTCCCCAAAGCCCCCCGGTACATAGATGTATATTCTTGGTTGTGGGTCCTTCTAGTTATGGCATGTGGGACGCTGCCCCAGCGTGGTCCGATGAGCAGTACCATGTCTGCGCCCAGGATTCGAACCAACGAAACACTGGGCTGCCTGCAGTGGAGCGCGAGAACTCAACCACTCGGCCACGGGGCCAGCCCCTATACAACGTATTCTTAACTCTTTGTAACTTTTGTTAACACTCACCTTAAAACTGTTTTGAAATTTTTGGAGCTCAATCTTTCTAGAATGCCCATATACATTCTAGTATGTTTTAAGCTAAGTGTTTAAGCTAAGCGTTATTACAAAAGAGTTAAAAAGTTTAAAAAAACTAAAATGTTTATAAAGTAAAAAAGTTACAGTAAGCTAAGCTTAATTTATTATTGAAGGGAAAAATTTTTTAATAAATTTAGTGTAGCCTGAGTGTACAGTGTGTATAAAGTCTACAGAAGTGTACAGTAATGTCCTAGGCCATCGCGCCCACTCACCACTCACTCACTCACTCACCCAGGGCAAGCTCCAGCGCTGCAAGCTCCTTTCATGGTAAGTGCCCTATAGTGGTGCACCATTTTTTTCTTTTATACCATATTTTTACTGTACCTTTTCTATGTTTAGATATGTTGCACAAATACCACTGTGTTACAATCGCCTACAGTATTCAGTACAGTAACATGCTGTACAGGTTTGTAGCCTAGGAGCAATAGGCTATCCCGTACAGCCTAGGTGTGCAGTAGGCTATACCATCTAGGTTTGGACAAGCACACGCTATGATATTCACACAATGAATAAATTGCCTAAAGACACATTTCTCAGAATGTGTCCTATCGTTAAATGACACATGACTGCACTTAAAAAGATCACGTATAACATGATTACACGTGTATAACATGTATATTATGTTTAACATAATACACAGACAGCCTGCTACTATGTTTGTAGATGATGTGAGAACACAGCTCTTCTCACTGTGGCTGGGAGCATGAGATCCGGCCTTTTGGTGGCTCCGGATCACCTCTCAATTGGCACTGGGAGTAGGGACCCTACTCTCAGCTCCAAGCCACTGGTGAGGATTTCTATAGCCTGTGCATGGAGTAGCAAGTAGAGAGGGACTCGTGAGATGTGTGAACCATGGAGCTCTTTCTCAGCCTGAGCGGCCCTGTTATGTGTTTCTTCACTCATCCCCTCTCTGACCCTTCCCACTCCTAGAGCCCCCGTGAGCTCCCTCCCTCATTATCCATTTCCACCATAGGCTATTTCTGACAAAGGTATTCCTCCACAAAACAAGGCCAAGTCTCCCAATATTTCCCTATCCTCCTGTCCCTGAAGGATACCACAGAAGTCTAAAGGTTTTAAAGAAATTCTGCTGATAGGAACAATGACAACAGATGGGAAGTTTAAAAAGGCAATCTCTTCTGCCCTGTCCCTTTTGTCATTTTGTTCTTTTCCTCTCTAAAGGCAACGTTAAAACACAT